TTTATTAATTAAATATTGGGTATTCTGTATACAGTATGCCTGCTAAGGCCTGCTTACTGCAGGGCTGCAAATTACTGTCGGACATCGGACAATGTCCGACTAAATTTGGCAAATGTCGGAGCAAAAGTAATTTTGATCGGACATTGGTCTGATCACAAAAAAATTTGTCACATTATACATTTTTTTGCTGTGACAAAATCCTATTGCAAATTTGCATTTTGCAATAAGGCATTCTAGCATTTTACTTAATGTTGTGCCGGAATGGCTATACATACTTGTCTCATGACATATATATTTTGTGACGTATATATGTCCGACCAAATTTAGTGATGTTGGTTTTTGTCCGACCAAAATTAAAAGTGATCGGACAAATGTCCTGTCAAGTCAAATATTTATTTGCAGCCCTGTTACTGTATTAAAGTAGAGTAGTTGGTGGAATTATTTGATCAATACAGCTTTATGGCATTACAGAGAGTGTAGTAAATTAAAAATATGATAACATTTCAGATAATCAGGCTTACATACTTGTATGTTGATGTCAGTTGCAATGCCAAGCTCATAGAATATATAAGTGAGTATTGTGAGTCTAAAGAATTTTGATTGACAGTATTTGTGTTTTACTGACGTGAAACTGTGCCGGTTATTATTGCAAAATAGGGCGAGTTTAGGCGAGTTAAGCAAAATTCTGTCAACTTCTCATTGCGAGATAAGGCGAGATTGGGCGAGTTAAGCAAAATTCGATCTTTTTCTCTTGCGAGATAGGGCGAGATAAGGCGAGTTAGGGCGAGTTAAGGCGAGTTAAGGTCCCAGAGTAGGCCTGAAGTTTAAACTTAATTAAGCACGTTCCACCACTGTTACTCTGTTAATTACAGTGTTATTAGAATAAGTAAATTATTGTGAAAGTCAGGTTAACAACTAAGTCTAATAGACTTTAACTTTGGTAACACATATTCAAAATAAAAACTTGTTAACTCTGGGACCATTGTTTTCTCCCATAAAGAACTATTAAAATTTATTCTTTCAATAAACAAATTTTTTTTGTATAACCAACAAAATCACACCACTGTAATTGTAGTGTAGCCATTGAACCCTGAATCTGATAAAAGTATGCATGGTTTCGTTTGAGCATGATCTTATCTTCTCTAGCACTAAGAAAAACACTGTCATCTTCGCAAGCTTCTTTCATAGTATTCTCTCGTTTCGAAAACGGACATTTGACTTCACCAACACCGAGAGAGCATGTTTGTTCATTTGACATGTTTGTTCACTCACAAGAAAATCTGGGCTTGTACCCAGCCAAGGAAAACTTGGGTTGACAATAAAACAACATGCCGAGCACACATCAACTGAATTGCCTTCTTCCTGCTTGCACTCCATGTATTTTCTTATAGCTTCCACTTCATTATCTTTGGTCCATTTGCAAGGTTTTGGTCAAACCTTTTTTGGACTACAATGTAGTGTTTTCATTAAGGACTTTGGATATATATTTTCCGTCTTTTAAGAATTGTCCCCAAATTTGAAATAGTAATTCTTTGCCTTCTCTCCTCAAACCACCTATCACAATCTGACTGACTTCTGGTATTGCTTTCAATTTCTCTCAAGTTCTTATCACTTACACTCAAACCTCCCACAAACTCCACATTGTCCCCATCAACATTGGACCAATTAACACCATGGTGTACAATATGCTCTAACACTTCTTCCCTTATTTTATTATCATTAATATTATTTTCAGTTTCCATTAGCTCTACATGTTATTTTTTTGATGGAAGACTTCGGTGAATTTGGTCGAAATGGTATGGTTGGTAATCATTTGATTCTAGCACAAGTCAGAGATATTCAGCTTTACCTTGTTGTTCTAAATTGTGTGCAAATTTTTTTACTTCATCTTGTGTTATGTTTCTGGCAAATTGTGGTGTGGGATTAAAGTTATCTGCTTTGCTTTTTCCATCACTGCGCTTTCTGCCCTTTGCATCTTTTTCATAGCATGCCTTTTCAAATGTTATATCCTCATATAAAACAGGCTTGTCAACCTCGTCACTTCTGGGCACATGCCACTCCTGTAAGACTTGTGCGCACGTCAAATCGTCTGGCACCTCTGTTAGTTCCAACTCAATATAATCAATGATGTGAAAGAGAACAGCAGCAACATGCTTGCAACAGCCTCCCTGGCCAGCCTTACAAATACAACTACCATGTGTAACTTCACCAGTGTTCTGATTTAGATGAACATAAACAATATATATTTGTTTATTCATTGATGCACTGACACAAGCTTTTACCAAGAAGTGAGTAAGAGTTTCGCTACCTTTCAATACATCTGCTTTAACTTCGACTATGTTTACATATCTATCCTTAAAAAAGCGATATCCCAGTTTCTTGTATCTGCTAGCATAATTTCCCCCTTCAACTCCCAAGTGCTGTCGTAGCAAGGCATGGCTAAATTTTGGCAGTGACCGTAGGTCTTTGGTCCATCTTTTCATTTCTATTTGCTCTGTGCATTGGTCTGCATCCGTTGAGGTGCAAGGATTGTCTTCCATTTATACTTACTAGTTTATTAATTTATAACTGATAATATTTAATAAAATTTAACTAACACTAAGGGACTGCTCATTATTTATTGTACAGGGGGAGACTGAGGAGAAACTCTACAGTTATAATATTTTTTCGTTGCCCCCCTCTTAAGATAAGTAAAACTTTCAAAGCCACCC